CAGGGTCCCCTCCATCCACTTCCATCTCCCCACGCCCCTGCGCACCGTCATGTCATGGCTGTCCCCGTATCCTTCCGTGTCACAGCCGTCCCCATGTCCCCCCACATCGCGACTGTCCTCCAACACCCCCACAGGTCACTGTTGTCCCTGTGTCTGTGTCCCCCCACGTCACGGCTGTCCCCCACATCTCCCATCCCACGGCTGTCCCCGCATCCCTCCATGTCACAGTTATCCCCACATTCCTCCATGTCACAGCCATCACCATGTCCCCGTGTGCCCCAACACATCGTTGTCTCCATGTCCCCCAATGTCACAACTGTCCCCATGTCGCTCCACCCCATCACATCATGGCTGTCCCCATGTCTCCCCATGTCACGGCCATCTACGTCCCTGTCCCCGTGTCCTTGCGCTGTCCCCCATGTCACATTGTCCCCCCTTCCCCAGCAACCTGGAGGGCTTCTTGGAGGAGTTTGCCGACATCTCCAAGGAGGACCAGATCAAGAAGCTCCACGACCTGCTGGGTCCCCACATGCTGCGGCGCCTCAAGGCCGACGTCTTCAAGAACATGCCGGCCAAGACCGAGCTCATCGTCCGCGTCGAGCTCAGCCCCATGCAGAAGTACGCTGGATGCCGGGGTATCCCGGGAAGGGGGGGAGGGGAGGCGTCCCCAGGGATGGGGTGCACCCGGGCACTGGTGTCCACGGGAGAAGGCTGCACCCAGACGTTGGTGTCCATGGGAGAAGGTTGCACCCAGACGTTGGTGTCCACGGGCATCAGCGTTGGAGCTCCTTGCGTGGAGCTCACCTCCGTACAGACATACACTGGGGGTCCCCTGGGTGCTTGGGTACAGGGGGAAGAGGGGGAAGGGAAGGTGTCCCCAGGGATGGGGTGCACCCGGGCACTGCTGTCGATGGGAGAAGGTTGCACCCAGACGTTGGTGTCCATGGGCGTGAGCATTGGAGCTTCTTGTGTGGAGCTCACCTCCGTACAGACGTACGCTGGGGATCCCCTGGGTGCTTGGGTGCCCTGGACGCCTGGGTCCACGGGAGAAGGATGCACCAGGGCATTGGTGGTCCATGGGAGAAAGTTGCACCCAGATGTTGGTGTCCGTGGGAGAAGGTTGCACCCAGATGTTGGTGTCCATGGGCAGGAGCATTGGAGCTCCTTGTGTGGAGGTCGCCTCCATACAGACGTACGCTGGGGGTCCCCTGGGTGCTTGGGTGCCCTTTGATGGTGGGGAGGGGTGGTGCCTGGACGCCTGGGTCCCACCGACCTCCCCGTAGGAAGTACTACAAGTACATCTTGACGCGCAACTTCGAGGCGTTGAACTCGCGGGGCGGCGGGAACCAGGTGTCGCTGCTCAACATCATGATGGACCTGAAAAAGTGCTGCAACCACCCCTACCTCTTCCCTGTCGCCGCCATGGTGGGGCCCGCGGGGATGCCGGGGGGGGACACGGAGGGGACATGGAGCAGTTGGAGGGACGGAGGGGATAGAGATGTGGGATGGAGGGACATGGAGGGGATATGGGGTCGTGGAGGGGTTGGAGGAATGTTGAGGGGATAGAGGGATGTGGGGTGGAGGGACATGGGATGTGGTGGGACATGGGGACATGGAGGAGTTGGAGGAATGTGGAAGGGATGTGGGATATGGGGACATGGAGGAGTTGGAGGAATGTGGAAGGGATGTGGGACATGGGGACATGGTGGGACGTGGGGACATAGTGAGATGTGGACATGGAGGGGTTGGAGGAATGTGGAGGGGACATGGTGGGATGTGGGGACATGGTGGGATGTGTGCATGGAGGGGTTGGAGGAACGTGGAGGGGATAGAGGGACATGGGGAGGAGGGACATGGAGGGGACATGGGGACATAGAGTGGTTGGAGGAGGGTGGAGGGATGTGGGATGTGGTGGGATGTGGGGGATGTGGAGGGATTGGAGGAATGTGGAGGGGACATGGAATGTGGGGTGAGGGGACATTGGGATATGAAGCGGTTGGAGGAATGCGGAGGGGTAGAAGGACGTGGGGTGGAGGGGACATCGAGTGGTTGGAGGAGTGTGGAGGGGATAGAGGGACGTGAGATGTGGGAACATCGTGGGATGTGGGGACACAGGGATTGGAGGAATGTGGAGGGGATAGAGGGACGTGGGGTGGAGGGAGATGGGATGTGGGGACATGGTGGGACATGGAGGGGTTGGAGGAACGTGGAGGGGCTAGAAGGACACGGGGTGGAGAGACATGGAGGGACATGGGACAGGGGTGTGGGGCGGAGGGGACAGAGGGCCGTGGGACACGGGGGGCACCTGGGGTGGAGGCGCGTGGTTGGGATGCCGGGGG